GCTCCCTGGGTGTGGTATATCACTGGAAAATTACCAGAGACATCCAAAATGCCTGTGTGAGTTTCATGTGCTTCAGCCCTAAAACTAAGCTCTTAGGGAAACCATACATAATTTTTTTTCTTTCAACAAGCAGTACTGATCAGTATAGCACTGATCGTTCAGGAAAACCTGACAGGCTGGTTGTACAGAAGTCGATCAATAGATCGACTTGTGTACAGCCAGCTAGCTCATACCTGGATCGAAATTTGACCAGTCCCTGTTGAACCGGTTGAATTTAGATCCATATATGGCCGACTTTAGTGAATTCAATATGAATTATGTTACCCTGTGCTACTGTCCAGTACCTGGTAGAGGCTGAGCTGATGAAAGGACTTCTTGAACGCCTGGAGTTGGTGAGGAGGGTGTAGCTGGATGAGAAGTGGCATAGGTTCTGACATCATGGCCAGATGACAGTCTGGATATTGTTGGAATGCTGTGGGCGCAGGACTGAAACTTGTGCAGAACGCTGTCTTACAGATGGAGCACCGGAACTTGAAGATGTAGTAGTCAAAGCTAGCCAGAATCAGCAACAAATTGGAAGAAGATGTATCAATTTGGAAGGCAGAAGCAGGGTCAGAAGTCAGATTTGATATCAGATAGGCAGAAGAAGTAGAAAATCAGCAGGTTGGGGGTAGAGTCAGAACACAGACCAGTGGCAGCACCTGAAGTTCAGAATCTGGAAGAGACACACAGCTTGATTCTTCTCAGACACTCAGGACTGTCACACCAATTACTGTCAAAAACCGCTTTATTCATTGCAGATAAAAGCACTCCTGACAAGTATGTACACACGATTTCAGCATGCTTTTCATGCTATTTTACAGATTTTAATGAGTCTTTATTGTTATATAAGAACAAACTCTGGAATGCTGGAATGTCAAGGAGCAGGAATTTATATGACTGTGTTTCCTATATACTGTGTACATAAAGTAAAGGAAATAAGTATTTGATCCCCTGCTAATTTTTAATGTTTGCCCGCTCACAAAGAAATGATCAGTCTAAAAATCAAATGGTAGGTGTATTGTAACACTGAGAGACAGAATAGCAACAAAAAATTCAAAAGAAATTATGCACTGATTTGCATGTTCATGAGGGAAATAAGTATTTGATCCCCTATCATTCAGCTTTTTTGGCTACCAGGTGTCTTTCACACAGGTAACAAGCTGAGATTAGAAGCAGTCTCTTAAAGGGAGCACTGCTAATCTCATTTTGTTATCTGTATAAAAGACACCTGTCCACAGGAGCAATTAAACAATCAGATTCCAAACTCTCCACCATGGCAAAGACCAAAGAGCTGTCCAAGGAAGTCTGGGACAAGATTGTGGGCCTACACAAGGCTGGACTGGGCTACCAAACTATCGCCAAGCAGCTTGGTGAGAAGGTGAGAAGGTGACAACAGTTGGTGCAATCATTCGCAATAGAAGAAACACAAAACAACTGTCAGTCTCCCTAGGTCTGGTGCACCATGCAAGATCTCATCTCATGGAGTGTCAATGATCACGAGAACAGTAAGGAATCACCCCAGAACTACACGTGAGGATCTTGTCAATGATCTCCAGGCAGCTGGGACCCACAGTCACCAAGAAAACAATTGGTAACACACTACGCCGACAAGGATTGAAATCCTACAGTGCCTGCAAGGTCCCTCTGCTCAAGAAAGCACATGTCCAGGCCTGTATGAAGTTTGCCACTGAACATCTGAATGATGCAGAGGAGGACTAGTTGAAGTGTTGTGGTCAGATGAGACCAAAATCGAGCTCCTTGGCATCAACTCAACTCTCTGTGTTTGGAGGAGGAGGAATGCTGCCTATGACCCCCCAAGAATACCGTCCCAACTGTCAAACATGGTGGTGGAAACATTCTGCTTTGGGGGTGTTTTTCTGCTAAGGGGACGGGACAACTGCAACACATCAAAGGGACGATGGACAGGGCAATGTACTGTCAAATCTTGGGTGAGAACCTTCTTCCCTCAGCCAGGGCATTGAAAATGGGTCGTGGATGGGTGTTCCAGCATGACAATGACCCAAAACACACAGCCAAGGCAACAAAGGAGTGGTTCAAGAAGAAGCACATTAAGGTCCTGAAGTGGCCTAGCCAGTCTCCAGACATTAATCCAATTGAAAATCTGTGGAGGGAGCTGAAAGTACGAGTTGCCAAACGTCAGCCACCAAACCTTAAGGACTTGGAGAGAATCTGCCAAGAGGAGTGGGCCAACAAGGGATTTGCCACCAAGTACTAAGTCATGTTTTGTGAAGGGAATCATATACTTATTTCCCTCATGAACATGCAAATCAGTGCATCATTTGTTAGACATGCATTTCTTTTGAATTTTTTGTTGCTATTCTCTCAGTGTTACAATACACCTACCATTCGATTTTTAGACTGATCATTTCTTTGTGAGTGGGCAAACATTATAAATCATCAGGGGATCAAACACTTATTTCCTTCACTGTATGTGTGTGTGTGTATATATATATATATATATATACACACACATATATTGCCAAAAGTATTGGGACACCTGCCTTTACGCACACGTGAACTTTAATGGCATTCCAGTCTTAGTCCGTAGGATTCAATATTGAGTTGGCCCCGCCCTTTGCAGCTATAACAGCTTCAACTCTTCTGGGAAGGCCGTCCACAAGGTTTAGGAGGGTGTTTATGGGAAGGTTTGACCATTTTTCTAGAAGTGCATTTGTGAGGTCAGGCACTGATGTCGGATGGGAAGGCCTGGCTGGCTGTCTACGCTTGAATTCATCTCAAAGATGATCTATCGGGTTGAGGTCAGGACTCTGTGCAGGCCAGTCAAGTTCCTCCACCCCAAACTCACTCATTCATGTCTTTATGGACCTTGCTTTGTGCACTGGTGCGAAGTCATGTTGGAACAGGAAGGGGCCATCCCCAAACTCTTCCCACAAAGTTGGGAGCATGAAATTGTACAAAATATCTTGGAATACTGATGCCTTATGAGTTCCCTTCACTGGAACTAGGGGGCCAAGCCCAACCCCTGAAAAACAACACCACACCATAATCCCCTCTCCACCAAACTTTACACTGGGCACAATACAGTCAGGCAAGTACCTGTTCTCCTGGCATCTGCCAAACACAGACACGTCCATCGGATTGCCAGACAGAGAAGCGTGATTCATCACTCCAGAGAAAATGTCTCCACTGCTCTAGAGTTCAGTGGCAGTGTGCTTTACACCACTGCATCTAATGCTTTGCATTGCACTTGGTGATGTAAGGCTTGGATGCAGCTGCTCGGCCATGGAAACCCATTCCATGAAGCTCTCTACGCACTGTTGTTGTGCTAATCTGAAGGCCACATGAAGTTTGGAGGTCTTTAGCTACTGACTCTGCAGACAGTTGGTGAATTCTGTGCGCAGGGGCGGACTGACCATTCGAGCACTCGGGCACTGCCCGAGGGCCCGGGGTCAGTAGGGGGCCCCATGAAATGCCCCTGGTACCTTTTTTATAGGCTTTTTTGAGTGTGGGAAGGACCCAGGGGCCCCATGATCCCCTATTGCCCGGGGGCCCCATGAGTTGTCAGTCCGCCCCTGACCCTTGGTGAAGTCTACAAATAGCTGTGCCAACACAAAGTGCAGGCATGGACCTCCATTATCACTACTGGGAAGCCAGTCACAAGTAATGATGTGTTGCTGACACTGGAGCTAGTGCTTGTAGACATAAAATGTCTGAAAGAGGTTGGTGGTGATCAGTTTGGGAAAAAAAAAAAGGAAAAAATAAAAGGAAGCAGTATTCTATTTTCCAAACGTTTAACATTCATAAATGTAACAATAGGTCATCCACTTAGGGTTTAGATATACACTACTAGATATACACTACTACTACTACTACTACTACTACTAATAATAATAATAATAGTAATAATAATAATTTGCCTGTTTAAACAAGTTACTAATGTTATCAAATGATTTAAAAAAATATGCTGGAATCCAGAGTGCTACTAGGTACACATATACAATAAATGCTTGTACAAAATGTGCGATTATAATGAAAAAGTTATAATGTTGACATCTGCTTCAAACATTTACAAATACATCACGTTAAAGGGGGGTTCCACTCAAATGCTGAAGCTCCGCTTATTTACCTCCTCCCCCCTCCACTGCCATGTTTGGCACCTTTTGAGGGAGAGCGGATACCTGTTTTTGACAGTTCACCACGGCGAAGTGAGCCGGAATTTCAGCCCCCTCCTTCCTCCCGCAGTCTCCTGGGAACTTTCATAGGTTCCAGAAGACTGCCGGACCAATTAGGAGGCGCAGTGCGACTTGTACATGCGCAGTGGGCACCAGGCTGTGAAGCCGCAAGTTGTCACAGCCTGGTTCCAGCAGTTGACATGTCGGCACCGTGGAGAAGAGAAGGGGAGAAGGGACGGCGCGGGTGAGAACATTGCTGGATCCTGGGACAGGTAAGTGTGTGTTTATTAAAAATCAGCAGCTACAGATTTTATAGCCACTGACTTTTAATAAACACAAAAATGGCTGGAACTCTGAAATACTGCTAATGCAATTAGGGGATCATGGGGCCCCTGTGTCCTTCCCACACTCATAAAAGCCTTTAAAAAAGGTACCAGGGGCATTTCATGGGGCCCCCTACTGACCCCCGGGCCCTCGGGCACTGCCCGAGTGCTCAAATGGTCAGTCCGCCCCTGCCAAGGGTACATATGACAGGGTGATTATACAGGAGACTGGGAGACAGATGCCACCTTATAACAGAAAGTGTCTGAACAAGATTGTCATAACAGGTTCACCAGGGATTATATATAAAACTGCAGATTTAAAAAGATTGAATACATACAGTATTTTGAAATTACATGAACATGTTTGTTAACACTGTCCGGGGTTAGGTCTACTTTAAATGGAAAAATAAAAAAAAACATTCAGGTCAGTTATTTGATATTAAATAGATGTCATCACCTTTCTTGATTTTATCTCATGTAGGAGTACATAATGTCTGATAAAAGTGACCTGAAAGCTGAACTGGAACGGAAGAAGCAGCGTTTAGCACAAATACGGGAAGAGAAGAAACGTAAAGAGGAGGAGCGGAAAAAGAAGGAGGTCAGTGAACTGAGTTTAGTTGCTTCAAACTCGTACGTTAAGGGCTATTTCACACCACAAAAACATCCTCCAGATCCGTTCTGGATGCATTTCGGCATGAGAGTTTTTTATGCGTCCCAGTGTATTTTTGATGCATTTTTTTTATTTGTTCCTGATGCTTTTTTCCTGTTTTTTTGTTTTCACTGTACTGGAGTCTGGTGTGTTTTTCATGTATGTAGGTGTGTTCTGGTGCATTTTTAATGCGCTTTACATCATTCCAGTACAGTTCTCTGTAGGGAAAATGCTGCATGTTCCACTTTTTTTTTACTGGAACAGGAACACACTGGAACTGCAAGCACTGCACTGCAAGTGTGAACTATGCCATTGAAAACCATCAAATTCATAAAAACATAAAAACAGCAAAAGTCCTGGAGGACTCCTTCATAAGCCCAGTCATGGGGGGGGGGGGGTTCTGTTTAAGCTCAGGTTTGAATAACAAATACACTAAATGACTCACCTGTAATACCTGTAATACCCTTTAGTGTAAGGTTTTTTCTTTAATAGTGAGAAGCATGCTAGAAGCCTGGGTATGAGTCAGCCTGGGAGTGAGTGAGTGAGGTTACTTCAGGTTAAGGCTGGAGAGCTCTGCAGGTCAGTTCTTGGATACCTCCCTCTGCTCTAGAAACTTGGAGAAGTTTCTGGAAGCCAGTAGGTGGTGGGAATGGGAGGGTAAGGAGGGGATAATTTGCATACTTAGGGGAATCTGGTCAATTCCCAGGCAGGAGTCCTGGCATGGTGGCAAGATCAGCCCTTAAATACGATAGAGCCTGGGCGGAAGAGTTGGGTGGAAGATGAAGTGAGGAAGTGCTGCTGGCGTGGAGCCTGGGAGTGGGCCCCAGAGGAGTTGGTCTGCCTACAGGCTGGAAGCTGGTAAGAAGGATCTCCACAGTCTACCGGAGAAAGACAGCCTGTCGGCAGGGAAGGAGCCAGTCCAGCATAATACTTGAAAGCAGCTTCAACCTTTAAAGCTACATGAACAGGAAAGTGTGAGTACTTCTACACAAAGAATGGAGCTGTGATCAGGTGCAATACCCAACTAGTTCTCCCTGGTATCCCATTACTTGGAATCCCTTGCCCTGGGTTACTCTCAAGACAGCCAGGTGGATGAGGAATTTTTCATCTGGGGTCAGATGCTCCTTGCAAAAACTGTATGCTGACTCTTCAGAAGATAAGAGCCACACCTGAAGGAGTAGATAGCCTTGCAAAAACTGTATGCTGACTCTTCAGAAGATAAGAGCCACTCCTGAAGGAGTGATCCTAGGCTATCTACTCCTTCAGGAGTGGCTCTTATCTTCTGAAGAGTCAGCATACAGTTTTTGCAAGGAGCATCTGACCCCAGATGAAAAATTCCTCATCCACCTGTAATACCCTTTAGTGTAAGGGTTTTTTCTTTAACTAACTACCTGCCGACCGCAGATAGCCGAATGACGGCTAAACTGCGGCCGGCCAGTTCTGAGTGGACGTCATATGACGTCCTCCCAGAACGCGCTCCCAGGGGGCGCGCACCCGGCGATCTCCGTGATCGCTGTGTCCTACGGACACAGCTGATCACGTGATGCGGTAAAAGGCCAATCACAGCGGCCTTTTACCACTTGATCAGCGGTGTCCAATGACACGCTGATCAAAGGGAAATGCAAGTGTCGGTTCTCGGCTGCACTTTCCTCACGCTGTCAGATCGTGAGGAAAGTACTGCCGAGAACCGACAGTTGTCAGAGTGGGGATCGGCACCGATCATCAGGGCACTGATGATCAGTGCCCTGATGATCGGTGCCCAGCAGTGCCACCCGCAAGTTCCGCCCACCTGTGCCCAGCAGTGCACCCACTAGCTCCGCCCACCTGTGCCCAGCAGATCACCCACTGCCCAGCAGTGCACCCACCTGTGCCACTCTGCAGTGTCACACACCTGTGCCCAGAAGTGCCACCTACCTGTGCCCAGCAGTGCCACCCACCTGTGCCCACCCACCTGTGCCCACCAGTGCTGCCCACCAGTGCCACCCACCAGTGCAGCCCAGCAGTGCTGCCAGTCAGTGCCACCAGTCAGTGCCCAGTGGTTGTGCCAGTCAGTGCCGCCAGTCAGTGCCCAGCAGTGATGCCAGTCAGTGCCGTCTATCAGTACCCATCATCAGTGTCACCTATCAGTGCCGCCTATCAGTGCTGCATATTAGTGCCGCCTATCCTTAACACCTCATTAGTGCTGTCTATCAGTGCCGCCTATCCGTGCCACCTCATTAGTGCTGCCTATCAGTGCCCTTTAGTGCTGCCTATCAGTGCCCTTTAGTGCTGCCTATCAGTGCCCATCAGTGCCGCCTATCAGTGCCCATCAGTGCTGCCTCATCAACGCACATCAGTGAAGGAGAAAAAATACCTGTTTGAAAAATTTTATAATAGAAAGAAAGAAACTTTTTTTTTTTTTTCAAATTTTTTGCATTTTTTTTTTTTATAGCGCAAAAAGTAAAGCGCCCAGTGGCAATTAAATACCACCAAAAGAAAGCTCTATTTGTGAGAAAAAAATGATCAAAATTTCATATGGGTACAATGTTGCATGACCGCGCAATTGTCAATCAAAGTGCGGCAGCGCTGAAAGCTGAAAATTGGCCTGGTAAATAAGGGGGTATAAGTGCCTGGTAGGCAAGTGGTTAATAGTGAGAAGCATGCTAGAAGCCTGGGGAGTCAGCCTGGGAGTGAGTCAGTGAGGTTACTTCAGGTTAAGGCTGGAGAGCTCTGCAGGTCAGTTCTTGGATACCTCCCTCTGCTCTAGAAACTTGGAAAAGTTTCTGGAAGCCAGTAGGTGGTGGGAATGGGAGGGTAAGGAGGGGATAATTTGCATACTTAGGGGAATCTGGTCAATTCCCAGGCAGGAGGCCTGGCATGGTGGCAAGATCATGAGTTTGCTGGATTTTTTTCCTTTTTGTGCTTAGGAATTTGTCCTCCCAAGTTGTTTCAGTTCCATTGGGCATCCCATATACTCCTAGACCCCATCCAAGTTATTAACCCCTAAAAAAAACAACAAAAAGCAAGCTCATGGACTGTTTACTGACTGCGGATGAAAGCGTGGAAAATGCATCTTGCCTGGCTTTGCAGAGATTAGGGGTACCCAAAAACTAATCAGCCATCAAAACTAATATGAACTTGATAAATACCCCATTCGAAAACCATTTCCATTAATATGGGGGTGGCTTCTCCTTTGCAGTTGTAACAGCTTTCACACTTTTTCGTAGGGTTTCTACAAGATTTTGGAGTGCATCTGTGAAAATATGTAATTTTCAGCCAAAACAGCAATTGTGAGGTCAGGTACTGATGTTAGAAAAGAAGACCTGGCTCACAATGCATATTCCTGTTCATAACAAGAATGTTCAGTAATGTTAAGGTGTGGGTTCTGTGCAGACAACTCGAGTTCCTCCACACCAAACTCATCAAACCGTGTCTTTACAGAGCTGGCTTTGTACACGGGCACAGCCATGCTGAAACAGAAAAGGGCCTTCAGTAAGCTGTTGTCACAAGGTCAGAGGCACACAATTATCTGTATTGTCTTTATATACTGTAGCATTAACAGTACCCTTCCTGGAAACTCCTGAACTCATTTAGGGAGGTATTCCCATACTTGTGGGTGTATAGTATATTGTGGATAGGTAACTTTTTATTTTGATCGTTTAGTGATGTCACTTACCTGTTATCCTCTTTAGTATTTTGTGCAGTTATAAAAAAAAAATGGACTTATGCAGGCCATAGATGGAGAGAAAACCGGCCAATTTTTCTTTAAAAAAACGAAAAATCGGTCGTTCAAGCGGCTGACGTTACCAGTAATGGTAAAAAAATCGGCCGATTTTCATCCCGTCTACAGTCGGCAAAAAGTGTCCCTGCAGAGAGCTCCGCTATTTCTTTGACAGTTCCTTGACCGTTATAGCAGTTGCAACAATGTATCTATTTGTATCCATTTCGGATACAGATGTTTTTATTCAGAAACAAATAGATACATTGTTGCAACCGCTATAACTGTCAAGGAACTGTCAAAGAAATAGCGGAGCTCTCTGCAGGGACACTTTTTGCCGGACTGGAATTCCTCTTCTTCTTCTTCATCCTCTTCATCATCTTCTTCATCCTCTTCTTCATCTTCCTCTTCTTCATCTTCCTCTTCTTCTTCATCCTCTTCTTCTTCATCCTCTTTTTCTTCTTCTTCATCCTCTTCTTCTTCTTCTTCATCCTCTTCTTCTTTTTCATCCTCTTCTTCTTCTTCCTCTTCATCCTCTTCTTCTTCTTCCTCTTCTTCTTCATCCTCTTCCTCTTCCTCTTCTTCTTCATCCTCTTCTTCATCTTCTTCATCCTCTTCTTCATCTTTCTCTTCTTCTTCTTCATCCTCTTCTTCTTCTTCTTCTCCTTCTTCATCCTCTTCTTCTTCTTCATCCTCTTCTTCTTTTTTCTTCTTTTTTTTTGTCTTCCTCTTGCAGGTCACTGCTCATGCGCAGATTTTTTTATCGGTAAAAGATCGGCCGATTTGCCCATCATTGCCGCGAAAATCGGCCGATCGGCAAAAAATTTTTTTCCAACTTTACCGATAAAAAAAATCTGCCAAAATACCGAAAAAACGGCCGAACATTTAGCCCACTAACGATCCGAAAATCGGCCGATTTTATTTTTGGCCGAAAAATCGGCCGATTTTCAACCCATCTATGGCCTGCATAAGCCTTGTGTCTTTATATTGTCCCCAAGATCTTTAGTGAATCTATAACACATTATTTTACACAGGCAGAACAACAGCAAAAAACAGAGCCAATCCATGAAGATTCTGATCTAGACCGCAAGAGGCGTGAAACAGAAGCTCTACTGCAGAGTATTGGGATCTCCCCAGAGCCACCTCTAGGTATTCAGAGATGTGTGATTAAATTTCTTGTAAAATGTCTGATTGTTCACAGCTTTCTACCAAATCCAGGCCTGCCTTGCACAACTATATAGTGCAAGGACTTTTCTGATTGGATATTAATTATTTAAATCAGGTAGGCCCTTAGATTTCATAGATATGGTAAATCTAAGTAAGGCCTTACCAGGGGCGGACTGACAACTCGTGGGGCCCCCCGGGCAATAGGGGATCATGGGGCCCCTGTGTCCTTGCCCAAACTAAAAAAAAAGCCTATGAAAAAGGTACCAGGGGCATCTCATGGGGCCCCCTACTGACCCCGGGCCCTCGGGCAGTGCCCGAGTTTCCAAATGGTCAGTCCGCCCCTGGGGCTTACTGACGTGTGAGGTGGCTAGGTGATAAAATCAGGAAGGTGATCTGTATTTGTACAGGTCCCTGGACACCTACCAGCAAGTTAACATGGTCAGTGGACATGTTTGAGTAGCGCACCCCTGAAAGAGCAGTTGGTCATATTAAGTTGTATTTCCCCCTTAGAGCGCACACAGTCAGGCACACAGCATTTTCAGCATTCTTCCTCTGGCTCAAAACATCAGTCTAGGGTTTTTTTTTTTTAATTGGTGAACGATGAACTTAGATAGGGATGGGGATCATTGGAATACAGCAGAACCGCAAGAACTTGAGCAACTTGAGGACTGCATAACTTCTCACTGCTCTGCACAACTGCTGGAAGTTTTTCGCAACTTTTAGCTGCACTGCACAGCTCCTAGCTGTATTGCCCAACTGCTGGCTGTACTGCATCACATTTGGCTGGACTTTCACAAAGTAGAGTCCCATAGGATCTCTGAGCTGTCTGTGACCTGCACTCTTCCCAGAGTCTCAAAGCAGGTCTGAAAGTATGGACATGTTTCATGTTGAAAGTGGAAGTGCTATACCATTCTTTTGCTTCCGCTGTGTGATGGGACACATAGCTAACAGGCGGGAAGCCTCACTTTTGTCATTCACTGCGTGCGCTGCTAGTGATACTGAGTCATGTCATAGCCTCAAAGGTGGCAAAATTGTGGGTGCCCTCTTAGCTTGTGCCTCTGTGGCTGAAGTTGCCAATTTATTTTCCATGTCGCGAGGTACAGTATCAAAGGTTATGGCAGCGTATAACGTTTCCCGTGAAGACTGGGATTGAGCACTGCAGTCACATTTGCAGCAGTTGCTTTCATATTCACAATCCTGCGAAATGTCCTTTTATCTCTTTCAGTCAGTTGACCATGTGAACCGTGCTTATGCTTACAGATGACTTTTCCCAGAAACTGTACACGCCGGTATAACCTTTGATACTGTACCTCGCGAGATGGCAAATAAATTGGCAACTTCAGTCACAGAGGCACCTAAGCGGCACCAACAGTTTGCCCTCTTTGAAGTTCAGTAAGCTCTGACATGACTCCAGATTACTATCAGCATATGCAGTGAATGACGAAAGTGAGGCTTCCCACCTACTAGCTAGGTGTCTCATCACACAGTGGAAGCAAAAGAATGTTACATCACTTTCAACGCAAAACGTCATCACTTTCACACCTGAAAATCATGTAGTGTTTCCATTTTTTTGTCTAACCCCTGTATGTGTTCCAGATTAAGCATGCATTTGCTTTTGCATGCATGCAAGGACAGATGGGGGTGCTTTTACATTGTTTTTAATTCTTTTTTATTCAAATAAATTTTTTACACTTTTTCTATGTAACTGTATTGCTATATTTTTTTATCCTTCTGTGTGATAGCTTTTGGGTGACAGTCTCTTTATGGAAACATCAGGGATCTATTAGACCTCCAGTGTCTTCCCTGCCCTCCAAAGCAACTAATCAAGCACAGATTGTGCTTGGTTAGCTCCTTCCCTGGCAGTAACAGCCAGCAAATGCCAGCTCTGAAACCAGAAGTGATAAAATCATCATTACATCCAGGATCATTCGTCACAGAGGAGATGGGGGAACAGATTTCACTTTTACAAAGCAGCCAATCACCTACCGAAAAAAACTGTACTGTGATCATGGATGTAGCTGCAGCCATGGTGTTGTAATAACCACTTACTGACAGATTGTTTTTATATGTACAGTATGTTGGTCAGCAAGTGGTTAAAGTAGATTTAAATCTAATCACTAAAATCTTATATAAGCATTAACATGTTTTGCAAATGTTAACTTTTTTCTTTATGATGGTGATCAGTGGTGTATTTAGGTTTCTTGCTGCCCTAGGCAACACAAAAATCACCCTCCCATCCCCCATCCCCCATGGAGAGATCCTGACACTCACAAACACCCCTGACATTAACCTAACATTGACCAACAACACCCCATCCCACCCGAGAGACCTTTCCACTACCACCACCCCCCATACACTGACAACCCCCCCACCCCGGTGAGAGAGAAGACACTCACCTTCACAGCTCTGGACATCCCCAGGAACAAGAATCAGGCTCTGCATACACCATCAAGCAGCCCGCAGCCTCTCTCAGATCTCACCTGGTCCCCATGATGCGTGTGTCCTTTCTTCCATCCCTTCAATCGGGGGCGGTGCTTCCCCCCTGAAAAATGCCTCTGCCCACCTGAAAAATGCCGCTGCCCCCTGAAAAAATGACGCCCTAGGCAAATGCCTTGTGGTAAAGACACCCCTGATGGTGATCCTGCCATGAAGATCCTTGTTCAGACACCTCCTGTTATGGGTTATTTTTTACTGTGCTCCTGCATTGTCACCCTGTCACATACCACCCTGGTCACCCTGGCTGAGAACTGTTGGGCCAGGACACATTGGTTGGGCATAGTCCATGGTGTGCAGCTACTGGAGAGACTACATATAGATAGGAAATGGCTGAAAGAGACTGGAAGAGATCAGCAGCTCAGCTGCACTGATATGTAAATTAGGATAAAAAAGTGAAAAAGTGAAAGAAAAACCCCATTGCAATTGTGCATGAAACACAGCAAACTAATTGTCTTACAGTTTAAGTTAGGGTTTTGATCTGCTTTAAATAATAGAAGTCTAGTAAAAGTATGGTATAGACAATAGCATTGCAAATATTTGATTTATTGGAGTTGAAAAGAATATTGGCTTTGTTTTTCTTTATTACTTAGTTCCAACCCCAATATCTCCTTCATCCAAATCAGTGAGCACGCCCAGCGAGGCCGGGAGCCAGGACTCTGTTGATGGTGCAATAATGGGACGGTAAGATGTGTATCTCAGCCCTATTCATGTGGCTATCATGATGTTTATAATTTATATAAAACATTTAGTCATCGTTCATAGTAAGCCTTAGCAAAGGTCATACTGAGCCCAGCACTTGGTTTACATGCCTCACACCCAGGGGCGGACTGACAACCCATGGGGTCCCCGGGCAATAGGGGATCATGGGGCCCCTGTGTCCTTGCCCAAACTCAAAAAAGCCTATGAAAAAGGTACCAGGGGCATCTCATGGCGCCCCCTACTGACCCCGGGCCCTTGGGCAGTGCCCGAGTTTCCAAATGGTCAGTCCGCCACTGCTCACACCAAACATTTCATGCACTGCATCATTTTTATTTTTGCATGTGGATATATCTCTCATACATTGCTGTAGCCAGTATCGTAATAGTGGTAATTCCCAACAGATTGCTGGAATATGCAACAGCACAATAAAGCCTTCTTACTACAGAAGGTATTTACGTGTCTAATTCCATCACATATCCCAAACAATTAAGGATTATACCTCAGTTCGGGACAGTGGGCAAAAACTATGCCTATCAGTCCTTTATGTCTCAACAGTCAGATGCACTTTCTAAACCAAGAGAAAGAAGCCAATTCTTTGAACGTGAAACTTTATTGTAACAGAAAAGCAACACAAAGCCCATCCTGGGACCTCCTCCTCTGATGCAGGTTTTTAACCAAAACTGGGGCAGAGGAGGAGGTCCTAGGCTGGGCTTTGAGTAGTTGCTCTGCTACTATAAAGTTTTGCGCTTGAAAGAACTTAATGTGGATTCACACACGTGCAGTGCAAATTGAAGCTCTGTTTTCACAGCTAATTGACAAAGTAGTTGTTTTTTGATTCAGGTCAGGTTTAGATCAGGTTCAGGTCAGGATTTTATCCTGTTCCCAACTGATGACATGTGCGATTCAGAAAAGTTCCCATATAAGTCAATGAGCCTGAATTCGCACCTGAGCCAGACCGCACTGCTCAGAAAACTGACAGGACTCTTTTTCAATTCGCACTCCGGCTGCACCGCACCAGGCACAATAGAATCCAATGTTATTTCACATGTCATGCGAATTGGATGTGGTTCAAAATGCTCTTATGATGGCTTTCACTGGCTTCTTTCTTTTGGACCTTTGGATAGCTTGGAGTGAGAACAAGACCCTTCCTGGTTTTAGCAACCAGCTAGCCAAGATTGGTAGCCAGCATACTGGGCTCAGGTGCGGCGAATAATTATTTTTCATGTTCAGAAACACCTTTTTTATAGTACAGATCCAGCCAAGTATACAGTACAGTAGATATATTTATTCCAAACTGCATACAGCTGTTTCAGGCTTTTTTGACAATTATCAGTGCAGTGTATGGAAATCATGTCTTATATAGAGGGCTTTGAACAGTGGTACAGTATGGGTGAAAATCTGTTAAAGATTTGTGTATATTTACATGGCCTTGGTATAGAAGGTTAAAATCAATATGACTTTAGATATGAATTCATGCAATTTCTCTGCCATCCTAACCTTGCATAAACAATTGTATACTGTAAGGAGGCGTGGTTTTCATTTTTTCTAGCTTTTTTTTTTCCTTACAAAAACACTGGCATGCCCTTCTTTATCAGAACAACAGAAATAAGATAAAACCCCACCCTTTTCCTCTTTGGTCACAACACACGTACAGTATAACTAACATCTGTAGTGCACAGACATAGGTGTGCACAGCCTATTGCATTAGGGTGTTGTGATAGACCGTCTGGCACCCCGCCTGGGGGTGCCTCCTGCCTTCCAAATCCTTCCAGCAGACCAGTAGCTAATATCAACCCTTTACCCCAAACATCATACACAGACAATATGTTGAAGTAAAACCAAGGGAAAATTACTTTTATTAAACAGAAATACAGGTTTTTTTACACTTCAAAAAAAGGGGCCGTTCCCACATGAACAATAAAAACAACCATTTCATTGGGTAAACATCCCACAATGGTTAGGTAAGGAGGTAAAGTTGACACAAGACTAATCACATCCAGACAGAAACATTAAGTTACTCAAATAACATAGGGAATTCACACATAAGAGGCACACAATGGGGAAATTATACACTGGGAGAACGACACTCCACACCTAGGCAGGATAGGCAAACACAGGTACACATTATAAAAGTAAACACATAACACCTTAATAAACAGATTACAAATAACAGCAGGAGACCCCAGCATCAGGTTGTTTTGAGCCAATTATAATCTTCTGCTTTGAGTCTCAGAGGGGGTTGAAACAGTAAATGTTGGTTTGGGCTGTTGATTCTATACCCCAACAAAACACAGAGGCCCCAAATCTGTATCTAGGTCCTCCAGTTCTCACTGTGTGCTCAGGGAGAGATGAACTTACTGTAAATCTGAGGTAAAACTACTCCAAAGGTCCTTCAGGCGCACACTTCCCAAAGAATAGAGCCAGGGCTCATAGTCAGTAGGCCAGCCTGCAGTTCTTTCGAAAAGCCCCTGTCCCATTTGGATCAGTTGGTCAGAGGTGTCACAGGTGTGCACCCCAAAGAGAGAAGAGGTGAATAGACTGTGGCTCCAGCTCTGGGATGAGGATTTGGTGATGAGGAGCAGAGGGCTGTGATGCCTGCTGGAGAAAGGACCCAGTAGGAGCCGAACCCCACAGCTGCCCAGCATCAATAATACTGAAGCTCCTGCTAATTACTTGACAATTGTCATCTGAAACTCTACCCCTGCCACTCCTTCACCCCCCCAGCACATCTCTAGCGCTACATAAATATTTGCTGAAGTTCTAGCGCTTGTGATGTGGGGGAGATTGGGTGCCATGGGAGCAGCAGGAGGAGAGGATCAGATGCTCCATGTCAGATGACAGCTGTCAAGTAACTTGCTAGTGCTTCAGTAGCACCCAATGGTTCCATAGCATAGCTGGTGGGCAGCTGTTGGGTTCATCTCCCACTGGGCTCCTTCTCCAGCAGCCCCCTCAGCCTCCTTCCCAAGACAGAGAACTATCATCTCCCCATGGTGTGCAATGTGTGAGGGCACAGTGGGCCCCTCCTCTGCACACATTGCACCCATAGATATTACGCCATTGGTGCACGGGGTGATTAGGGGGTGTTCAGGTACATCCGACACACCCCATGTGCATGCCTATGTCCTCAGAGAACAATTAAACTGATAACAGTCACGCAGGCAGACAGCATAGAAATGTATCAACTCAAAATATTTTCAGCAGGATCAACAGGGTACATTTTGTATCACTTATCGCATCAATATAAAGAACACTTTCAAGAATATATGTAAGATAACAAAAGGGAGCAAATTTTAGAGGTTTATTGTTGGTTTTCACATACACTTTAGCTTGCTGCATGCATGTTCCAAATCGGTGACACAGAAAGTATTAGGATCAGAGGATCAATATGACAACCAGTCAACTAGCATAATCAGGAAGATCTTGGCAATGACAGCCTCCATATTTTTCTCAGCATTGGATTCTTTTTTATGAGGTGAATCAGTAATAGAATTAATTTTTGGTTTTGGCCCAGTTTTGACTCTAGATGAGGCATCCATTTTACCAGCCATTGTTTGAAATAGTTTCTCTGGCCTTAGAAGGCAGAAGATCTGTGTTTTATTTGAGTTTTATTAATTTTGGATTAATAATAAACCATTCTTATTTCTTATTCTTAGGAATATTCAAAGTGGCCTTATGGGGTAAGAAAGCGTTTGTGTGTTTTGCAAAGTGTGTGAATATTCTATAGCAAAAGTTACTACATCAGCAGAATAAAAAAACATACAACAAACCTTTCTATGTTGAATAAGGAAAGTCAGTTTTAAAATAAATATGCTGCTTATTTCCATACTGATAATATGATCCTTTAAAAACCTTATTATTTTAAAAATAAATAATTTTAATAAGTGTGAACTCTAGCCATACCTTCAGCCTAGGTTCACACTGATGCGTGGAACTGCATGTGATTCAAAAAGGAATCGCATTGCATTCCTGTTCAAATCACGTGCAATTCTTTGCAGTGCGATTTGAGCCCATTCATGTTGTATGGCTGAAATTACAATGAAAAGGCTATCGGGACTTGTAGTTTTCCAATTCACAGAATACTGTGAATGGGTGACGTGGCTGATGGGCGGAACCCCGCACGGCCATGTGTTTTTTAAAATTGTGACAGCTAGCGGTGAGGAAAAGATTCCCCGCTAACTGTCACAATTGGGATCGGGGGAAGGGGGGGGGGGGGGGGGGGGGCTGGTCCGATAGTAATGAATATGGGTGTAACATGTTACGAAAGGTTAACTTATCCTTTAACACTTTTAGGGGGTTATTTACTAAAACTGGAGAGTGCAAAATCTGGTGCAGCTCTGCATGAAACCAATCAGCTTCCAGGTTTTATTGTCAAAGCTTAATTCAGCAAGCTGAAGTTAGAAGTTGATTGGCTCCTATGCACAACAGCACCAGATTCTGAGTGCTCCAGTTTTAGTAAATCATAGGCTAGGTTCACATCTGTGCGGGTGGTGCTGCTGCAGATCCGCATGAAAATCCGTGCAGCCGCACCACCCGCACAGAGGAATGCAGACCCGCGGGCGGGTGCCATTAGTTCTAATGGCATGCCGCCCGCACTGGAAAACGCAACCGTACTGTGAACCGAGGTTCCCATGTGGGCTGCATTTTCAGAAGAAGTGCAGGGACTTCTTCCCTGCGTGTCACGGAGCACGGCAGTCCATTTAAATGAATGGGCTCTTGTGCCCGCGTAAAACGCGACCTGCGCGGCTGCATAGATGTGGACCAGGGCTAAGTGTTCCCAATGCCATGAAAGTGTTACAACTGAAATATTGCTGCTATAGAATCATAGTAAATAATTTGCAGCACAAGATCCCTTACACAAAAACAGAAAGGGGAAACAGAAAGATTCTCTAGAACGTTTAAAATCATTAGGAATTTAGATTTAGACATTAATTTACTCACTTTTTATGCCAACCTATACCTTGCATAAATCATTTTATTCAGTGGGGGGAGGTATTGTTTCAAGGTAGCAAAATACTTTTTTTAATGCCATCTTTAAGCCAGTCAGTCTGCTTTTGTCCTGTTTTACTGTCTTGTATAAATTAGATACAGTGGAAAAAGGTCTTTAGTGGCAAAACTTTTTGTTGATTTTTCATCCCCTTTATTCTAACCGTAGATTGTTACGTTGTATATTCAGAAAATCCTTTTAGACCGGGGAATTACCATCACTGACTCATCTCATCCATCAGTATATGCATGCTCCCCTTTGTATTTTGTGTTCATTTTCTTTATATTCATTAAACATTGTTATTTCAGGAATTATAGTGTCTACTTATATTTTTTTAAACTGCTTTCTGGACGATGAGCAGGGGACCTTGCAGTGGGATACTGACCCGTCTGTACTGCAGCTGCATTCAGACTCTGACCTTGGGTACGTTCCAGCCTTTATATCATAATGTGGATTTCATCTGCTTTATGGGAAATATAAGACATTTCTTCATTTTCCTCTGAGAGAAACGTGTCTATGATACCAACAGCAATCAGAATTTTCACTGTTTAACCTCCCTAGCGGTATGATTATTTCAGATTTTTGGTGCTGAAAGCGGTACCATTATTTTGCATGGAAATATGTAGTTTTTTTATTGTAGGCTGTAATATTTAGGAATAACTCACTGAAATCTGTCTGAACAAGAGTCTAGTAAACATCCCGGGTATGATAAAAATTTGAAAACACAAAATCATAAATTATAATTTAATAAATAATCATAAAAAATAATAATATAATAATATTACATTTAATTCAATAATATAATCAAACCAAAAACACTGAAATTTGAAATATAGAGCCAAGTTCGCACATCACTGGTCTCAGTCGCAAAATTGTTTTCAGTGTCTGATGAGGAATTTCCCCCACAAATCATTATCACTCAATTCTGCAAGTGGTTCTGATTTATTATCGCTGTTCTCTAGCCTGATCTAAAACCGCTTTTGACCTAAAGGGACGCTTTTTGGACGCCATGGACTTTTCTAAGTTTCCAGGCAGAAAGAACATTCAAAATGCAGACGGGGACAGGACAGAGCACTAGGGACAAAATGTATGTGAAATGGGTTGAAACAGCAATGTTTTACTATGTAAAATCGTTTTGAAAAAAATGAAATTTTTTTTAAATTTTCAAATTTCCCGCCGCCGCCGCCCGTACGCCCCAACGTCACAGGGACCGGAACACAGGAGCCGGATGCTGGCATCAGCTGGAGGAGATGGCCGGGGACGCTGCAGGGGACACATCGCGGGAACGAAGGACAAGGTAAGTGCTGCAGGGACTCCCTATGCAGCGCTGCATGGTAAGCCCGAGTGTAGCTCGGGGTTACCGCTTTTGGTACTGACATTTTACCCCGAACTACACTCGGGAATACCGTTAGGGAGGTTAAAGTGATTGTAAATCCTTACATATACCCAGTGAAGTGATTGGTCTCAGGTGATACACAGAGATGAAACAAATCCTCCAACATAAGTTGTACATGTTTATCTGAAGTCTTCTCTTCTCTATAGTCAAAGCACTGAATTTATAAAGCTTGTCTGAGAGTTCCAAAAAAAAAGGGGGGTGGAGAGCTGAAATTACACACTGAAGAGCTCAGTGAGGGGAGCTCTGAGAGCTGAATGGATGGAAGAGACACCCTGCCTCCACACAGCTCACAAGAGCAGAGCTGAGGCTGTCAATCTGCTGGAGCTCCCTCTCCTGTCACCAATTTTCTCTTGGTGTCAAACTGTCAGAAGTGACTCATGCTAATAGCAGAGGAACAAAGCAGCAGACAGAAATGACACTTAGTGCTCCTAGTAGAGACAAGTCTGAGGTTTACAACCACTTTAAACGTCATTAGACAATTAGCAGGTGGAAGCTGATTACCACAGACAACAAAACTGTTATTATTTCTAAATCATTCATAGTATTCCCTTTATGCCACGGAACACAACTTTTAAGACCATAGCAGTATGTGTTTTCTGTCTGGTAATATTATAACCAAATGAATGATACTGGTCATTATGGTGCTGGACTGGAGTGTTGGCGTCCACTGAAGGAATTGATGGGGAGAACCCACTTTTTAATGGACAGCAGGTTAAAAAGTGATAGCTGAAGGGTGGATGTGGCTGAAATGAAGTCAACATATTTTTACAATTGTAAAAATAGGAAAAGTTTGACAAAATCACATTTTGAGCATTTTATTCAGGTTTTCAATAACAGGATTCGTTCGCCTAAAGCGGTTTTAAACTGAAATCAAAAATATTATATATTGGAGCGTACCAATCTTTAGATGTGGTGGCTGCATTCGTTTTATTTAAGCTTTCTCCCTCTGTTTTTAGCTGGTGATTTGACCAGTAACACACTTCCTGTATTAGAGTAAACCCAAGTCTGCATGGAGGAGCAATAGAGACACCTTTGGACAACATTGTCAGTCTAAGGGAAGGGGATGTTAGATGTACTAAGCAGATTTTAGATACACTAACAAATTGAAGCCAAACTCCAGTTCACACTTTTAAGCTGTTAAAGCAACAGTTCTGTTCAGGGGCGGACAACAACTCATGGGGCCCCCGGGCAATAGGGGATCATGGGGCCCCGTGTCCTTGCCCAAACTCAAAAACGCCTATGAAAAAGGTACCAGGGGCATCTCATGGGGCCCCCTACTGACCCCGGGCCCTCAGGCAGTGCCCGAGTTTCCAAATGGTCAGTCCGCCCCTGGTTCTGTTCCTTTTCGGATAAAGGAGAAAGAAAACATACATCGCCAGTAGTCCATGGATCATCAGGTATCACCAATCGCATGGCCTTGAAATGTTGTACTGACATGGCCTTGAAATGTATGATGTGATCCCTTCAGTAAATGTTTGGACTACATATTAAGAATCCACAGTGTTCTGGTGACATATGCTGTCTTTGGTGCTAATCCTGGTTAACCTGCTATTCCTACATCAAGCTTTCTTCAAGAATGTGTGAGATGGGAATATATTGCAGACCAGGCTCCCACAAAAAGTGTAGGAAATCCTTTTCCTGTACAGCCCGTGACAAGATTTAAATGCACAACGAAACAACTAGCTGGCTGAGACCCAGCTATGGAGAAGGACTCACCGGAGTACCAGACCTTCAATCCCTGTTTGGTTCACACCTTTGCGGCTCTGCGAGCCGCATCCACATTGGCATGGCAGCCCATTCATTTGAAAGGGCCGATGTGCCTGTGTTTCATGCAGGAAAAAGGTTCATGCACCTTTTTTAAAATGCAGTGGCAGGGACAGGGGTGGACTGACAACTCATGGGGCCCCCGGACAATAGGGGATCATGGGGCCCCTGTTTCCTTGCTCAAACTCAAAAAAGCCTATGAAAAAGGTACCAGGGGCATCTCATGGGGCCCCCTACTGACCCCGGGCCCTCGGGCAGTGCCCGAGTTTCCAAATGGTCAGTCCACCCCTGGGCAGGGAAATTGCATGGTGCTTTTGCACCATATGATTTCTAGCACATTTCCACACCTGTAATTGCGCTGCGTTTTTAGATGCAAGGGGGGGGTGCCATTAAGAATTAATGCATGTCTGTGAAAGAGAAGTGTGTTTTGTGGTTCCAGGTGCAATTCCCACACCCGCAAAGGGCTTGTGTATCTTCATTCTAATAAGACCTAATGCAACTGGTGTGATTACCCCAACCACTTCCTGGTCTCAGGCCAAAGCGTCTGATGAGTACTAAAGCTAGATTCACACTAATGCGGTGCGGTACATAGCATGCGATTCGCACAGGAACCGCATTCCTGTGCAAATCACATGCGATTTGTGTGCGGTGCAATCGGAGCCATACATGTATGGCTCAAATTGCACAGCACCTGCACCAAAAAAGGTGCAGGACCCTTTTTTGGGTCCGCACTAGAATCGGATCGCATGGGTATTCACACCTATGCGATCCGATTCTTCACATCCTACCGCGTTTTGTGGACCGATTTCGGGGTGTTGTTAACATACACACCTGCATCGGTTCACATGAATGGAGTGCGATTCTGATGCGGTCTAGAATTTGCACAGAAAACGCTGCGAATTCCGCACCGCACCAGTGTGAACCAGGGCTCAAGCAGACCCACTAGCAAATCAGGTGTCAGTATAAAATGAAGGAGAAACGATTGTCTTCCTGCGGTGTGTGACCTGATCATATGGTATTGGTGCAGGGACGGACTGACCATTTGGAAACTCGGGCAGTGCCCGAGGGCCCGGGGTCAGTAGGGGGCCCCATGAGATGCCCCTGGTACCTTTTTCATAGACTTTTTTGAGTTTGGGCAAGGACACAGGGGCCCCATGATCCCCTATTGCTCGAGGGCCCCATGAGTTGTCAGTCCGCCCCTGTATTGGTGACATGTATATGCACACCCACACAGCAAACTGACTAAAGCCCAGCTAAAGGCCATCAGTACATCCTTCAGTCCACTGACAGGCCCTTCCATTCCTATTCTTCCATTTGTATCTGACAGCTTGCTGACATTTGCTTACCATTTTGGGCAGCACAGCCACACGGGGGGGGGGGGTTATTCACTGAAGCTGGTTCACTCAGAATCTGGTGCACCTGTGCATGGTAGCCAATCAGCCTCTGACCTCAGCTTGTTCAATTAAGCTTTAGCAATAAAACCTGGAAGCTGATTGGTTTCTATGCAGAACTGCATGAGATTCTGAGTGAACCAGCTTTAGTAAATAAACCCCAGGTAGTGTGGCATTCTGTACCTGTGATCATTGTCCCCCGACTGACTACTGTTCTCTGAAGTACCAACAGAGCTGAGAGCAATGGGTCTTCTTTTAAACAGAAAATGAGGTGGCAGCAGCCCTGATGTTTGAGCAGGTTAATCCTGCAGGATTAAAGGATATGTATACCCAACATTTCATATTCCTGATATGTGCCTGCTGTGCCATGTACTTGTAAGAAAACATATCCTGTTCTCTTTGTATTGCTCCCTTTGTGTGAAATCCCTGGTGTTCCTGCCAGTCCCTCTGCTTTCCTATTAAAAACTGACCACAATAGGCAGTTCTCTAGCTATGCTGGGAACTCAGTCTGCTGTCCTCCAATGATCAGACTTGTCTTGACACGCTACCCCCCAACTGCACAGCCATTTACTGGGAAGACCAGTTTCCTTTTGTTTTTTCACCCCCCGCCTCTGTATGCAGCTTTTATTTCTGTTGTAAACTGGGTCGTTTTACAAGGCGAAAAGATACATATACTTTAACCTGGTATTGCTGTTTCTTTGCTGAAAGTGAGCATTACAATTTGTGAAAACCTTGTTTGTACAAGACATCAGCCTCTGTTAACTTGGTTCGGGAGGTGCTGTCTGTAGCAATTGTACAGTAGATCCCTGCAGCTAGTATTTGCAGCAGGTAAGAGGCCCTATCTCCCTTTAAGTACAGTACTGGCCTTTTAGCGGGTATTTCCCTCCTAATAATCCCCTCTAGACCCTGGGACTAATGTATTCTCTCTTCTGCTTCTCCTCAGAAATTTTAGTAAAACTGAATCAGAAAGCAGCAGGAGGGTAGAACATTTCATGGCCATAGACCCCAGTCAGCCTCCCCATGTCTTTGTAAAACAAATTCGTTTTCCAATTAGCTGTTAACAGTTAAACACATTTCTGTTTTCTAGAAGAAGACTTATTAAACTTGGAGTCTCCAAGGTCACCCAGGTGGATTTCCTACCTCGAGAAGTAGTTTCTTACGCAAAGGAGACACAGACGCCGGTCACTACACATCAGGCAGAAGGTAAGAATTTTATGACGTGATGTACATTGTATTTCTTTTATTCGGGGCTTCTGTCAAGGAAAATATTTTGCTACAACATTTTGTCTCTGCATGCCATGTTCAAAGGTTAGTCATAGAGGTTTTCTCTAGTCTGGTCAGAGTCACAAATGTAAATTACAGTTTGCAGAGTCACAGGGAGCAATTTACAATGCCCTACTGTACAGACGTTTTTGTGCATATACCCTGCAGTGTGCACTTTATGACCTTTCCTGCTCAGTGTAGTTATAATCAATTTAAAGTGTTACTAAACCCAGGACCCTGCATTCACTATATCTGCTCTCCCGGACCCTGCATTCACTATATCTGCTCTCCCCGGACCCTGCATTCACTATATCTGCTCTCCCCGGACCCTGCATTCACTATATCTGGTCTCCCCGGACCCTGCATTCACTATATCTGGCTCTCCCCGGACCCTGCATTCACTATATCTGCTCTCCCCGGACCCTGCATTCACTATATCTGGTCTCCCCGGACCCTGCATTCACTATATCTGGTGTCCCCGGACCCTGCATTCACTATATCTGGTGTCCCCGGACCCTGCATTCACTATATCTGGTGTCCCCGGACCCTGCATTCACTATATCTGGTGTCCCCGGACCCCGCATTCACTACATCTGGTCTCCCCGGACACCGCATTCACTACACATCTGGTCTCCCCGGACACCGCATTCACTACATCTGGTCTCCCCGGACACCGCATTCACTACATCTGGTCTCCCCGGACACCGCATTCACTACATCTGGTCTCCCCGGACACCGCATTCACTAAATCTGGTCTCCCCGGACACCGCATTCACTAAATCTGGTCTCCCCGGACACCGCATTCACTACATCTGGTCTCCCCGGACACCGCATTCACTACATCTGGTCTCCCCGGACACCGCATTCACTATATCTGGTCTCCCATGACCCTGCATTCACTATATCTGGTCTCCCATGACCCTGCATTCACTATATCTGGTCTCTCCGGACCCTGCATTCACTATATCTGGTCTCTCCGGACCCTGCATTCACTATATCCACTCCCCAGACCTGCATTCACTATATCTGGTCTCCCCAGACCCTGCATTCACTATATCTGTTCTCCCCGGACCCTGCATTGAGCATTCACTATATCTGGTCTCCCCAGATCCTGCATTCACTATATCTGGTCTCCCCGGACACCGCATTCACTATATCTGGTCTCCCCGGACCCCGCATTCACTATATCTGGTCTCCTCGGACCCCGCATTCACTATATCTGCTCTCCCCGCACCCCGCATTCACTATATCTGCTCTCCCCTGACCCCGCATTCACTATATCTGCTCTCCCCTGACCCCGCTTTCACTATATCTGCTCTCCCCGGACCCCGCATTCACTATATCTGCTCTCCCCGGACCCTGCATTCACTATATCTGGTCTCCCCGGACCCTGCATTCACTATATCCGGTCTCCCCGGACCCTGCATTCACTATATCCGATCTCCCCGGACCCCGCATTCACTATATCCGGTCTCCCCGGACCCCGCATTCACTATATCTGCTCTCCCCTGACCCCGCATTCACTATATCTGCTCTCCCCTGACCCCGCATTCACTATATCTGCTCTCCCCTGACCCCGCATTCACTATATCTGCTCTCCCTGACCCCGCATTCACTATATCTGGTCTCCCCGGACCCTGCATTCACTATATCTGGTCTCCCCGGACCCCGCATTCACTATATCTGGTCTCCCCGGACCCTGCATTCACTATATCTGGTCTCCCTGGATCCTGCATTCACTATATCTGGTATCCCACAGTACACACTACACGTAAATTCAATTATTTTAGTAAATATAAACTGCTAAATACCTTTTCCTATTAGCAATTAGAGCAGTCTTATGACTTCAGCTGAGCACTGGTTTAAGTTTGAATGAGGAGTTTTTCTCTAGGAGGATGGAAACCCCCTGCCCCTCTGTCTGGACAGTGCTGATTGGCCCTGATCACATACATTCTCCCAAGAAAAAAAAAACCTCTCTAGCAATACACACCAAACTGAGCATGTGCATGTGACTACAGATTCAGTCTGTATCAGGTGGTCATTTCAACAAGGAGGATCAGAGAAGTCAAGATCAACTGGCCTTTTTTACACAATGCAGAGGATTAACCCCTTAGGTTCCACAGTGAGTATAACAAGCATGCTTTACTGCATATGCAGACTGATTGTACTGTTGTAGGTTTCGCAACACTTTAAAGTGTCGTACTTCTACACATGAGCCAGCCTGTAATAGGAGGCAATATAATTACCTTTCCAGCGGCCATTGTGCTTCCTCCCGCCAGTTCATATGTGCTGTAGTGATGTGCAAGTCAGCCAAAGAAACAACCATGTGTGGCGGGGGGAGCGGGGATTCTTGCAGGCCTGGTGGTGATGTTACAGGGAATAATAAAAGCTGTTTTACCTCTACAGCAACAAGGTAAAAGAAAAAATGTTGGGACATGATCTAGAGAGAGAGAGAGAAGGTTTGGAGGTAGATTTGGGTCATGCTCATGCAAATCCTTTAATATACACCAGCCTTTTTCAACCTGGGTGCCCAGAACCCTGAGGTGCATTGAAGCTTCTTCAGGGTTGCCTTGGCAAAATGCATAGAAATTGCCCAAAACGTATATACAGGCCAGAAGGTGGATCAAGCCTGCCTTTTAGTTACACAAAGCCATAGGTATTCATTGTGCGCCATTACAGCCTTCTAGCTGCCAGCCTCCTAACAACCAATGATGCCATCAGTTGATATGGAAGATGTTGGTCGCATGCACAGCATCCTTGTTTGACCCTTCCCCCCCCCCCCCCCCCCCCCGTCAGTAATGGGGTCCCATTAGCTAAGTGATAGAGAGAAACTGGGGGAGAAGAGAAACATTGGAATACTATTCAGTACCAGTGTGCAAAAGTGTATTTGATTTAGAAGAATAAACCCCTCTAAGGTTGGGGGTCCTACATGTGTGGGTGTTGCAGCATTAGGTAAAATAATTAAAATAGTTTTTACATTTTAGAATGGGGCGCCTTGAGACCGTCCAGAATTTTAAAGGGTACTCCAAGATTGTTCATAACTTTAACCATTTGACGCCCGGCCTATGGCCAAATGGCGTCCGCAAAAATGCATTACCTTTCCGGGAGGCCGCCATATGGCGTCCTCCCGCACATGCGCAATTCGCGCGCTTGCAGAGCCACGCAGCGGCGCGATCTGTCACCGGTCGTGTACTTCAGACATGGCCGATGACAGATCTGAGTGCCGGCCCCCGTTGCCGGTACCATGTGACCTGCTGTGACCAATCACAGCAGGTCACATGACAGTTGTATACAATGGATGGCTTCATTCATGCCATCCATTGTATACTACTGCCTAGCTGTAAATGGTCACAGCTAATCACATGCACATGTCATGTGATTAGCTGTGGCCAAATCACAGCTAAGCACAAAAAAAAAAAAAAACCCTGAATGAATCGATGTCATTCAGGTAAATGCTTGCTTATAGCAAAGTAATTCTTTGCTATAAGCAAATTGTGTAAAAAAAAAAAAAAAAAAAAATACTGATCACTTCCCCAAAGTAGTACAATGTTACTATGGTAACATTGTACTACTTTGGACATAGTGAAATATGAAAAAAAAAATCTTAAAAAAAAAAAGAAAAAAAATTTATTAAAAAATTTAAAATTAAAAAATAATTAAAAAGAATAAATAAACAATATATATTTTTTTTTTTGCACTGGTGACAGTATGTAAAAAAAAAAAAATAGTGAAAATATTTTTTTTTATTTTTTCATTTTCCGAAAAATTATGACAAAAAAAATACGACTTCAAAAAACTCGCCATTCCTCTTATGAAGTACGTCGGACTGTCTAATCTGCAAAAAGAGGTCATTTGGGGGATATCTGTACTGTTCTGACATTCTTGGACCTCAAGATATTAGATTGGCTGTCAGTACTTCAGGATTGATCAATATTCAGATCTATACCATAGTTTGTGAACTCTATAACTTTCCTACAAACTAAAAAATACATCCTAATTTGGGTTATTTTCACCAAAGACATGTAGCAGAATACATCTCGGCCTAAATTTATGAAAGAACAATTATTTATTTGCAAACTTTTATAACAGAAACAAAGAAAAACGTGTTTTTTTTTTTTCAAAATTTTCGGTCTTTTTTGTTAATTTAGCAAAAAATAAAAACCCCGGTAATGATTAAATACCACCAAAAGAAAGCTCTAGTTGTGTGAAAAATGATAAAATTTTAGTTTGGGTACAATGTTGTATGACTGCGCAATTGTCATTCAAAGTGTGAGAGCGCTGAAACCTGAAAACTGGCCTGGGCAGGAAAGGGTAAAATTGCCCGGTATGGAAGAGGTTAAAGAGCGCCTTGACTGAAAAAAGGATGAGAAACACTGGCATACACTATTATTATCAGGACAAGCAGTTACCTAAATATCTTTGCATAAACTCCTATTATTTCAATGAATTTATATTGTGCTATTAGACGTTACTGGTAAGACTTATTAAGAGCAATGTTCTCCCCATCCTGTGCTGCAAATGGATTTTAGGTAGGATGTAGAGTTAAAGGAGAAGTGTGGGGATTGAGAAAACAAACAAACATGCATACTCTACTCTATGGCTGCTACATTGGTGTGATGGCTTTAAGCCCAAGAACTGAATGATCACATGACCGCAGAGAGCTTGTGAATATCACACACTGAGAGCCCTAGCCAGCTGTCACTCAGGCATCTAGGAGGTATCCAACATTATTGTCGGGATCCTTCCAGAGCCCGTAGCAGCCTTGTGAAGTCAGCCAACCAGGGACGTATTTACCACAAGGCAAACAAGGCATTTGCCTAGAGCGGCATTTTTCAGGGGGGCAGCGGCATTTTTGAGGAGGGCAATGCCGTCCCCCGAAAGATGGAATGGAAGAAGGGACACAAGCAGCGTGGGGAACAGGTGGCATCTGAGAGAGGCTG